TGCCATGTTGCTTTTGAATCCTGGGTACATAAGTAGGCAGTTTAGACTTTAAATCTGTAACTTAATATGATTGAACTTAAAATCCAGCAGTCTGTATGAGTAGTGGCTACTGTGATAGACATCTTTTGTTCCTTTTCCTTTAAAGCCCTTGTCACTGAGCCCCACCCCTACCCCCATCCTCCAGTACTACAGATTTGTGGTTGAATTTTGTGGTGTGACATTGAAAGCCATGGAAGAGGGTATTCACTTGAGAGAATAATTCTTTGTGGTGAAAGAAATGCAAGGGACATGTAGAAAATATGTCCTGGTGGGCCATGAGGCTCATGTGGAGGCTGAGTGAGGGCAGAGCTGAGAGCAAGTGTGAACTGCACAGGCTCTCAGAAGGCTCTCGGGTGCAGTTTGCTTATAAGAGTCTGGCAATAGGATGGTAGCTCGGCTGTGTTGAATGGGTTGAGAATTTCAGTTTCTCAGGACTAAGAAGCTCACAGAGCTGCCATTGCACTACTGGTCACTCACAGTTTGGTATCACATGCTGGTTAAAGATAGATTCCTTGTGATGTTAATTTTAAAAAGAGGGGCAGTGGTGTTCAGCACATCTAGTGGGGGAAAGTGAAGAGAATAGTACTGGCTATTCTACTGCAGTGGTGCCAGAACTGCTAGCCTGGCGGCTTTTGTCAGATGAGTCTGTCAAGCACTAGAAGTGTGACTAGTGTAGATGGAAACTGCTTTAAACTTACTTAAATTTAAGCCGAATGTAACCAGTGTCCGTCGTATAGGCATCCAAGATCCTAGGCTTTTAGAATGGTTATGAGAAAGAATAAAGTAGGAAGCTGGTCCTTCAATATTTTAGACACCCAAGAAAAAGCAAAAGGCTCACTAGAACTCTAGTGTATAGTTTAAAGCAAATCTCTTGGTCATTTTGGTTTTTTATTTCTCTTATGTTTGACCTGACCTTAAAACATACAGATAAAAAGTGGCTGGTAGATTTTTTTTTTCAAGTAAAATGAGCTCAGAGTGACCATTTTTAAAATTGGTTTTCAGCCTTTTAGAAAATGTATAAAGCAGCTGTTTGATACAGCAAAGAAACACCAGAAAGGCTGTCCCATGCAAAAGCAGGACAAGGTTGTAATTTCAAAAATGGCACCAGTTACAGAGTGTAACTGAGGGAGGGTGTCATGCTCACACTTGTAATCCTAGAGGAGGCAGAGGCTGGAAGATTGCTACAGGTCCAGCCTGGTCTGCACTGTTGGGTTCCAGGCCAGCCAGAGCTACATAGCAAGACCTGTCTCAAACAAAACCATGCATATCCATATAGTATACATATCCATGTAGGTATATTTTCATATATACACAATATTACATACTAAGCATGTGTAATAGCTATATATAGACATATATTATACATGGGGTGTGTGTATCTGAGAAAAGAGAAAAATAGGGTTAGCCCTCCATTCAATTTATTGAAAAGGCAGTGAGTACCTCAGGTAAGACTGCACCACTTCTCTTCTGGGCTCTTACCAGAGGTCTGCCATTTTCCTCTCTATGGCCCAGATGCAGTGTCACCCCCAGAATGACATTGCTAACACAGATCTGATCCTCATCTCTGTTTATTAACTTGGTATTCACATAAACATACAGTAAATGCACCCAAGCATATTTCTACTTTTGAAATCAGTATATTGTGTGGACATTTTCCCAGGTGATAAAAATGGGTGTTTTTGCTTTTCTGTAGCACTATGCAACTCTTCTAAGGTTGACTCTAATCTAAACCCCAGGAAGTCATCTTGTAGCAGAAACTATGCCAAACGTCTCTTGCTATAAGGATGCTCCTACCAGCATTACTCAGGTGTAATGCACACCCTGCAGTTGGAACAGCAAGGTAGATGGTGGTTGCTGATACTATGTGTGCCTGCCCGTGTAAGGTAGATGGCATACTTAGCTTCATGTATGTGTGCCTTCTCAGTAGCGGGTTAAAAATGATACTGTATTTGTCTGCATGCAGGAACCTATAGTTACCTTACAATGGAAACACATTCCATATTTAAATGCTGCCTGTTCCAGAAAGTACTTTTGTAAGCAAAGAAACAGGTTCAAACTGTAAATAAATTATAGCAGTAGTACCTCATTCTGTTTCCAGAAACACCTTGTATACTTACATGAAAGAGTATGTGCATTTTCCTACCCTGTATTTCTCTAATTTTTTCTGAATTTTTTGTATTTTCTTATTTTATAGTGTTCACTTATCTCCATACTTACATTTTTTCTCTTCAAGCTTGATTCCCCTCTTATATCAGCTTCTTAGTTGCTTTCTTTATTGGAAATGATTAGTTATCCAGGAAGTTGCTTTTCCCATACTGGTTCATTAAGTTCTATAGATGGGGTGCATTGGTTCTTTTTTAAAATTCTTCCTTTTGTGTTTCTACAGACAAGATGGCTGTGTAGCCTAGGCTAGTCTCAAACAGGTGTCATTTCCACAATTGTCTTGACATTTTATCTGTTGTCATTTGCAGAGGCGAGCCAGGGGAATATGCATCTTCTATTTGAATTCTTTTTCTAGACAAATTCAATGTTAGTCAGTGTAGACAAGAAATACCAATATGAGAAATTCTGAATTAATCCAGCTCATGTACCATCTTCTGGTGTACTTGAGCAATCGATTGGGAATTATGTCATTGCTTTGTAATCTAGATGTCACTTGTTTGGAAACTTAAGCAGCTTAAAGTTGTCATGTGATGTATACATTTAGCTAGAGCACTGACAGTTGATGGAGAATGTGTGCCAAGCTCAGAAGGGTTGGGGCGGTATCTGTTTTCTTACCCTCTCCTTGGTCTATCACAATATCCAATTATGCTCTCAAAGAATCATTGGAATACTCAATTGCCTACTTTTGCCAATTTGTTTTAAAACTGCTTTCTAATGAAGTAAGGGACTTAAAGGATTTAAATAACTATTTTGTGCTTGGTAGGCTATTTGATTTGTAAGGAACAAAAACTACTAAAGTTACCCACTAACAAGGGGAGGGAGGGTGAGAAAGAATATAAATGACCATGTTTAAGCTTTACTTTTTTCCAGAAATCCATAGCAACGCCACTGGTTTCTCTGTTGATACCCACTCAGAGCTTTTCTTTTGTTTCCTCTTGCATCTGCATTTGAGTGACATTTTGTTTCTCCTGGCTCTTTGATTGCATCATGTTCATGTAATTCTACTGTATAGTCCTGAGGAATTGTTAATATACACTAATTAGCCTTAATTCAGTCTGGACAGAATGTTTATACCCAGGTATCTACCTATGGACTACCAGTCAGCTTCCATTAGATTGTCTGGATCTTAGTATAGGCTCATTTAGAAGAGGCTTTGTTATTTTCAGATGAGGAGCCACTGAGTTACTTTTTACATCATGGTGTAGTATTTCCGAAGTTTATTTTTTTATTTTTATTATTTTTTATTTTAAAAACAATATTTTCTCATTTTACGTAACAATCCCAGTTCCCACTCCCTCCCTTCCTCCTGCTATTCCCTCCATCCTCCCTACCCCACCCTCCATCCACTCCTCAGCAAGGGTAAGGCTTTAAATGGGGAGTCAATTAACTCTGGTCCCTTACTTTGAGGCAGGACCAAGGCACTCCCCACCATATCTAGGCTGAGCAAGGTATCCCTCTAAAGAGAATGGGCTCTAAAAAGCCAGTTCAAACACTAGGGATAAATCCTGGTCCTACTGCCAATGGCTCCTCAGACTGCCCAAGCCACACAACTGTCACCCATATTCAGAAGGTCTAGTTTGGTCCTATGCAGGTTCCCCTACAGTCAGTCCAGAGTCAGTGAACTCCCACTAGCTCAGGTCAGCTGTTTCTTTGGATATCCCCAAAATGGTCTTCACCCTTTTGCTCATATTATCATTCTTCCCTCTTTTTGACAGGACTCTGGAAGCTCAGCCCAATGCTTAGCTATGGATCTCTGCAACTGCTTCCATCAGTTACTGGATGAAGGTTCTGTGATGATAACACAGTTGTTCATCAGTCTAATTACAGGGGAAGGCCAGATCAAGCACCCTCTCCAAGGATGCTATGGGTCTTAGCTGGGGTCATCCTTGTGTATTCCTGGGAATTTCCCTAATGCCAGGTTCCACGATAGCCCCATAAAGACTCCCTTAATCAAGATATCTCTTTCCTTGCTCACCCTCTCTGTCCTTCCCCATCTCGGACATCCCATTCCTTCCTGTTCTCCTCTCCCCTCCCATTCTTTCCCCCCCTCCAAATTTTCTCAGGAGATCTTGTCTATTTCCCCTTCCCAGGGGGATTCATGTATGTCTCAGGGTCCTCCTTGTTACCTAACTTCTCTGAGATCATGGACTATAGGCTAATTATCCTTTGTTTTACATCTGATATCCACTTATGAGTGAGTACATACCATGTTTGTCTTTCTGGGTCTGGGTTACTTCACTCAGGATGGCTTTTTTCCAGTTCCATTTATTTGTCTGCAAATTTCAAGATGTCATTGTTTTTTACTGCTGAGTGGTACTCCATTGTATAAATGTACCACATTTTCTTTATCCATTCTTCAGTTTAGGGGCATCTAGGTTGTTTCTAGGTTCTGGCTATTGCTAATAATGCTGCTATGAACATAGTTGAGCAAACATCCTTGTGGTATGAGTGTGCATGCTTTGGGTGTATGCCTAAGAGTGGAATTACTGGGTCTTGAGGTAGATTGATTCCCAATTTTCTGAGAAACTACAAAAAGCTGATTCTCAACTCAGAGTTACCTTTATCTTAGAAAATCAAGTGGTTATTTTCCTTCAGTCTTCCCCTGGCTAAGGGATTCAAGGGGCCTCCTTGTTTCTGCACTTAGGCTTGCCTGTGGAGAAGGAAGCAATCTCATTAGAATCTGCATGATTTATACAGAGAGACTTAAGCAAGAACAAAATATTAATAATCCTCAACAATGTCCTACTGTAGCAGTGTACTAACAGGTATAAATTTATTGTGCAGGTCAATGGTTTTCAATCGTGTAAACTATAGGCTAAAGTATGATGACTGTGGTAGACGTCTGTCTCTTTATCTCACATCCATACAACCAGTACTGCTCTGGATTTTCTTTGTCCTGGACCCCAAACTTCTTTGGGGTTACATAATTCTGTTGGCTTGCTGTAAATGTCCATCATTCAAGTTTTCTGGAAAGATCATCATAACACATTGAACTTTTCTTTTACAAACAGGATAAAAGAATTAGAGTGTCTCAACCCCTAACAAGAGGACCAAGTGCCTTTATCCCAGAGAAGGAAGTAAGTTCATTTGTGTTTAATACATTGTCTGGTCTGAAACTAACTCTAAAACCACATCCATTTTTTCATGCAAAAGTAGATGTGTTTTACTCTTTAATGTGTTATTCGTGTCACAAAAATGTGGAGTCGTCTTTTTCAAATTCACTAAGAAAGTCTGAAGGTTTTCAGATTTGAAGATACCAGCATTTCACAGTATTTGTATTGCACAATTGGGATAAAAAGATATTTTGAAATGAAATATGAGTATCCAGCTACACCTTTAAAAGACAAACAATGTCTTCATTACTGGTAGTTACTCTTTTTCTCATTTACAAGTTTGATTAACAGGATGCTACAGACTTCAACAATTGTGTGTCTTTGGTAAGGTTTTGTTAACAAATGGTAAGTGCAAGGCAGAGAGGCTGTCAGTGGTACAGAGTAAGGTTTGTGCCTATTTTGTTGGTAGACATCTTTGTGGATGATGACAGTGAGGTTAGGGTCTTTGTTATGCCTTTTGGCCACCATTAGGCTGAAAAACATTGTTGAGGGCTTACATGTCTGCTTAGGGAGTGCCCTGTACACATGGATTCATTGTCTCATAGCACTGTGCCCTGGTTGTGCACAGATGTCTTTGTGTGTGGATGTCTAGGATGGCACCCTTCACTTTCCTGTCCCTGCTTTAATGGCCTTCTCATTGAATCAAAACTAAAGTGACAATAGTATGCCTCCAGAGCTCAGAGGTGGCAGTTTCATGTACAAGAGTCACTGCTGTGCCTATGCCTGTTTGCCTGGTTGCCCAGGGCTGTACTGTGGGATGATGGCCTAATGCATATGACTGACCTCCCAAAGCATTTTTAGGATCTGTTGCAGCATATGAATCTAGTGATGCATTGTGAACCTCCTGTGAGGACTGAAAACTTCTAGAGAAAGCAAATAAAAAATAGTAAAATATTCTAGCCCTGATTATATTTGGGTTTGTATCCTATTGTTTTTTTTAACTATTAGCTCAGTCCCTCCATTTGACTGAACAGGGAAATGGGCAAATGAGAATACCCAGGGTTCCATAATTAGCTGCAGTGAAGTTGCCTTTTGTATTTATGCCAGTGTAACTAGCATTTCTTCACAGCTTCACTTTCACATATATTCCAGTTAAGATTAAGTCTTTATCCATAATCAGTCCCTTTGTATAATGTGTACCTCCCCAGGGGTAAAAGGAACTGTGAAGCCAGCTGTGAAGACAGCAGTTTGATGGGGTTGTCCTTCTGTATATATGTTTCTCTTATGGGTTGATGAATAAAACATTGTGTGGCTAGTGGCCAGACAGGAAGGATAGGTGGGGCTACCAGAGAAGGAGAATTCTGGGAAAGGTAGACAGAGTGAGCTCGCCAGAAAGAATCACAATGCTGCCGAAGGAGTAACAACATGCCAAGGCATTACATGGTAAGCCACAGCCTCGTGGCAATACATAGATTAATAGAAATGGGTTAATAATTAAGACAGAGCTAGCCATAAGAAACCCTAGTCACCAGCCATCAGATTTATAACTAATGTATCATCCGTGTGCTTCTTTGGGGCTGAGAAGGGTGGCAGGACCAGCCGGGACAAAGAACCTCATATAACAGCAGTTTGATGACTACAGTGTGAGTCTTTCAAGGACCATCAGTTTGTACTTAATGGGATCTAGTCAGACCACTTTGCTGTTAACTAGAGCACAAGGTTGAATTAAATCCAGAATCTCTTCCTAACCTCTAAACTGAGAAGCATGTTCATCTTACTTCTAAAGTATAGCTCTAAAACACAAATGAGAGCTAAGACAATGATGGGGTCACACTTAGTGCCCATCCATTCCCATAGAGCTGCATCTTTCCACACTCATTAACACACTCTTCACACCACCATGTGACATCACACTGGCATGGTGTACATGGCTGAATATTACCTATTTTGAAAAGCTTCTTTGGTCCCTAGATGGAGGATGTAAGTTCAGTTTTCATGCCTTGTTTTTAGTAATTACTATGATAGGCTTAAACTAGCAATGACAGGATCTAGTATCCATATTAATTTTCAACTAAAATTTTCCACAAGTCATCATATGTTCCTGTGTCTCTAAAAAAAAAAAAAAGATTTCACAAAGCTTTTAAAAATGTTGACTAGCAAAAACATCAAAGGATCAGATATTTGTTCAAAATAATATAATTAAATTTGTCAGTTGATGAGAGTAGGCTGCAAATTCATGTGACCAAATGCTGCTGAATTTGCCTCACTCCATTTGTGTGACAATGGCCAGGCAGCAGGCTCTGGAGTTTGCCTGCAAAGACAGATGGAGCTTTCTTTCCTCAGCTTTATAGCTGTGTGTTTAATGTTTGATAACTTACCATTTGTTGTTTAATAAATTGTGGTACCAAAGCCAAAACTGAATGGTACTTTCTCTTTTTAAATTTCTGTTTCTAGTATGAGCAACTGCATAATTTCAGTGTCTGTTAGCATCAAATGAATATGTATTTCTTCAGTAGAGGCAGAGTCCTTGTAAACCAAAACTGTCTTTACATCACAGTAGTCACAACATTCTCTGCTTCTTGATTATAAGGTTGTCCAAGCAAACACGGTGGATGAACGAACAAACTTTCTTGTGGAAGAGTACTCTACATCTGGTCGCCTGGACAACATCACACAGGTGATGGGCTTGCACACTCAGTACCTGGAGTCTTTCCTGAGGAGCCAGTTCTACATGCTGCGTATGGATGGCCCCCTTCCCCTCCCAGACAGGCACTACATTGCCATCATGGTAGGTGCTTACTTCCTGCCATTCCCTACTGTCATGAACTAGGTTTCACATATTCTGAGTCCCTTTTAAGGTGTGTGTTTGGGGGAAGGGTGTGGGTGAGTGGGCCTGTAACAGACTGTACATGTGTATGTGTGAAATGTGTGTGTGTGTGAATGTTGGGGGTGTGTGGGTTGGTGTGTATGTGAGTGTGTGAGGGAGACTGTATGTGTGGGATGTGTATGTGTGGGGGGTGAGTGTGTGCGTATATGGTTGTGTGTATGTATATGTAGAGGGGTATATGTGCATGTGTGTATGTATGTATGTATGTGTCTGTGTGTATGTATATGTGTGAGAGACTGCATGTACATGTGTGTATGTGTGCATATGCATATATGTATATGTGTGTAAGTGTGCAATATGTATGTTTATATGCATGTGTGTGCATGTGTGTGAAGCTGAGTATAGTTACATGGGACAAAGCTGAAGAACCCTCTGGCTTTTTGAATACCATATCCCTTGAATACATTCAGAGTTGCTTTAAGTCACTTAAAGTGTTTAGCATTTAACCTACAGTAGAGTTATTTTGCATACTTAGTTTCTTATGGTTAAAGATGGTTCTTAGGTCCTGAATAATCCTTACAGTTTTGCTATTATTCTTGGGATCTTCTTCTGCATAAGCTGATCAGGGGCATTTTCCTTAGTCATCTTATACAGGAAGATGATCCCTGGCCCTGGTGTGGGATAGGAAAAAAGTATCATTGTCACTAGTGACAGATCTGTATAAGAAAGGAATCACAGTGCTTCTAAGTATAGACTTTGTTATCTGCAAGTAGAGGACCAGGGAGGAGGCTGTGATGGAGGTCCTAGAGCAGTGAGAGGAAGGAAGAAGTTGTGTTCTACTTGGCCAGCCAGTGGGGAAGAGAGTGGGGGCATGAGCCCATGGCACTGTGTGGAAAGATAAAAGCAGCAGCCAGCAGTGCTGCCCTGGACTCAGGAGGTGAGTGTCACCAAGTACAAAGCAGCACTCTGTGCTTTCTGACATGAACTTGATGAACTGTGATTTTTAACAGAAGTTTTCAATGATGGTAAAGACTGTCAGCAGACTGACAATGGTCACTCATTAAGACAGCAGAGATACAGAGATGGGGAAGAATAAAACAGATTGTTATACAAGCAGCAGCCACAGAAGGGAGGGCAAAAGTACTTCACATGAATGTCCTATTGACAGCACTCTGCTGACATTGACTGCATAAGGAGAGGATCACCGTCTAAGCATGTCCCTGAGGTCAGATGTTGCTACTCCAGTTATCCCACAGGAGGGTAAGAGAAGTCTTCACATAAGCAAGAATCTGGATTAGGATACATGTTTCTAAGAAGTTCCTGAATTTCAAGTGGTACATACTGTATCTTCCCCATAGCAAAATTGCACCATGCCTGCACATTTCCTGAAAATAGCTAGAATAGTTGCAGGTCTGTGTGTACCAAACTCAGAAAGAAAGTGGTTGCTTCATATGACAGGCATTTGCTTTGAACTGCTTATCCACCTCATGTATTGATTCAAGAATCTACAACAACAGTGTTATAAGCATTTTTGAAGAAGGAGAATTTTGTGATAAAAGAGTTACTGAGTGAAAAATAATATTGGCTCCATCTAAATTACTTGCTTGTGGAAAGACCTGCTCGTGACTGTTCTCAGGAAACTCATTTTCTGTGTTTTAGGCTGCAGCCAGACACCAGTGTTCCTACCTAATAAACATGCATGTGGATGAATTTTTAAAGACTGGAGGGATTGCTGAGTGGCTGAATGGCTTGGAATATGTACCACAACGACTGAGAAATCTTAATGAAATTAACAAGCTGCTGGCACACCGGCCCTGGCTGATCACGAAAGAGCACATTCAGGTATTGGGTGTTTCTCTACAGGCTCTGAGTTACATTTGAAGCTTGAGAGTATTTTCTTAGCCTTATGCATATATGTATAAGGACTTAATTTTAAACACCTATATATTAGCAACTTGAGAAATAAGAGATGCTGTATTACATATAGAAAAGATAATTAGAAATTTGGTGGCTTTTATTTAAATGCAAATAAAAACTGATCCTTCTCAAGCGTTACTCATTGGCTTGAATTTGTGATGTGACTGGCTGTGAGAAAAGTTGGCTTCCGTTGTCAAAGAGATGAGAGATCCAAGTCTACTAGCATCAAGGATGCTTGGCTTCTGGCTGCTATTGTCAGTGATATGTGCCCTTTTGTTAATAAATTCTATAAAGTGGGGAGATCTGTGAGTTCTAAATCCTTTGCTAGTTCTAACATTTCATAATTTAAGATTCATAAAGAAATGGTTCTGTAAATCAAAAGTGACTTGCCAGCTAGTGTGGGAATTACTGGCCAGATTAAAAAAAAAAAAATAGGTATCTTCCTTCCTTCTGTCAGATGCAGTGCTGTCCAGCAGTGTTCAGCCAGGAGAAGCCTTCACCTCCATCTCAGACATCTGCTTATGAATGCACATGTAGTATGCCAATAATACATAAAAATGCCTTTTAGACAATTGTGCTGTTGTACCACATCTATGTAATTCGTCCAGTTTTTAAAGCAAGCACCTTGTTTCTATTTTTTTAATATTAGATTTTGGTAACTTCTGGACTCTGAAGAACAACATGGTTCTAGGTCTGTGTTCTGATTTTGTAGTGTGTTAGTTATAGGCGATGCCACCACATAATTATGTTGTGGGGCTTTGGTAGTTTGCACATTACATTGTGTGACCAAAGGCCTATCTGTAATGTGTGAAGCATTTTAAAAGAGGTTTTAATTTGCATTACAACAAGTGTATGAGTGAGTCTCTGGCTTCTATGTTGACCTTGGCTCACTATCTCATTTCAGAAACTTGTCAAAACTGGAGAGAATAATTGGTCACTGCCTGAGCTAGTGCACGCCGTGGTCCTCCTGGCTCACTATCATGCTTTGGCCAGCTTTGTTTTTGGTAGTGGCATCAACCCTGAGAGAGAGCCGGGAATCTCCAATGGATTCAGACTAATCTCGGTGAACAGCTTCTGCGTCTGTGATCTGGCTAATGACAACAGCATTGAGAACACATCCCTTGCAGGCAGCAACTTTGGGGTTCGTTCTCAGTTATTTCTCTTGGGACCTTATTGATATTATCTAGAGAGTTTTCACTGTGACCAGATAGGATATTAAGTAGTTGAAAGATGCTTTTAGCACTGTAAAAGTTTCATCAGTACCTGAAGTTTTAACTTTTTTTTTTTTAACTTTTGGGCTTTATTATATGGTATCTTTGCCCACCAACACCTGAAATTTTAAGTTGTTATTACTCTGGGATTCCTGGCAGCCCCATTTGTGATCTCCATGTAAAAGTTGAAGACACTACAACTAGGAAGACTCTAAACTTTCTTCTTTAAACACACACCTGTATTTACAGAGTTTACCTTTTCACTGATAGTGAAAAATCAGACTGAATTTATCACTAAACTTACTTTATTTTTCTCTTCTTCAATGTCCTTCTAGATATTTCACTGCCCAGATGACTTCTTGGCCTTAACTTCTTGGCATACATGATGTCTACACCCTTCTTTGGATTTCCTACACTTTCTTGGCACCTTAAGCAAAGATATATCATTAGAAACAACAAAAACTGAGTATTGATACATTCAGTATCACAGGCCTTTAAAATGAGACCCATGCACAGCAGAGCTCAGAATGCTGCATCTGTCTGTAGGATGCTGGAAAACTAAGGAAAACGTATCATTTTTCAGTACATTACAATTTACTATGTACCAAACACTAGAATTCTATATTTCAACACACACACACACACACACACACACACACACACACACACACACACACCTATAATCTTTTTATATTTATAACTGAGGCAGACTCATACACCTGAAAATATTTGAATATGTCATATAATTGCTGTGGAGTTAATAAAAAACTCAGGGTATTTTTAAATAACTTCAATGAAATGTTAGTCACATACCACCCAATTTGCCCATTGAAAGGGTACAACCAAATAGTTGTGAGGATGATCATTTGGCAACAATAAAATTTAGGATGTTATTACAGTATAAAAAGCAACTCCATAACCATTAGCATCATACCCAGGTCCTCTTCCCCCATGCCTAGCCCAAAGCAGTCACTCGTCTACCTTCTGTCTCTATATACCTGCCTACCCTTGCCACATTTGAAATATTTCTGCCAATTAAAAGTTCACATCATTTGACCAGCATCTCTGCTGCAGCCTAAATAACTGCCCTCTGTGTGTACTATAGTGGAGGTGGAGGAGGAGGAGGGGCTTCCTAGAGCAGTTTGCAGTGCCATAACACCAACATTGTCACGTTCTTTCCAGATTGTGGATTCACTAGGTGAGCTAGAAGCCTTAATGGAAAGGATGAAGAGGCTTCAGGAAGACAGGGGAGATGAAGAGACGACTAGGGAAGAAATGACCACACGTTTTGAGAAGGAAAAGAAAGAAAGTCTCTTTGTGGTTCCTGGAGAGAGTTTCCATTCATTTCCTCACTCAGGTGCGCTCTTTCTTGCTTTTGGCTAGTTGTTCAAAGACCATTAGCCGCCAGCCTTTAGTATTTTCCATGCAGTTCCATAAAGATGAATCTGCTGTCATCTTTCTTTTGCCCCATGCACTTATGCTTCATCACAGTGGGGTGCATTCTGAGAAACCTGCAGCTATGCACTCACACACACCTAGAAGCTGCTGCAGCATCTGAACATAGAGAGTATGCAGCTGTTGCCAGCAGAACATGGCATGATACTCAACAGTACAGCTTGATCAGTGAAAGAGGTGTGTTCAACAATAACATGGGAAGCACAGACAGCAAATACATTAAATTAGTAGCTCTGTTTTTGTGTAGCATCACAGTACATGCTATGTGGCTGGCAGAGCACTAGGTCCATTCATAGGGTTGTCACCACAAATGTGAAATGACTGAGACTGCAATATGTTAGCTGTAGTGTCACAGGCAGTAAGAATTTTCTAGATCCAGTATCATTTTGAGAAACCACCTTCATATATGCATTCAGTCTTTGACTAATGTGTTATTACACAACACATGGCTATCACTAATCCTGAGACAAATTTTAGGGTTGTTGTCCTCATTCTGTGCTGGATACATATTTAAAGCAGGTCAGTTGCTGAGGTCAGTAAGATGGCTCAGCAGTACTTGTCACCAAACCTGACATTTGGAGTTTGATCCTGCGACCCACAGGGTGAAAGGCAAGAACTTAACTCCTGCAGGCTTTCATTTAAGTTCCATACATCCTCCCTGGTATGCACACACCTACACACCTACACCTACACACACACACACACACACACACACACACACACACCACTTGAAAAATACAGAGAACAAGTAGAAGTAAAGGAAAGTAATGTAGTAGCTATGTTAATACCGCAGTGGGGAAGCCTTGCTGGTAGGGAAAGGCAGACAATGCTATTAGAGTTAATATCCATTTACCCTAACATTTTTAGTTTCTGTAAGATCACTGGAGCTTTCAAAATGTAAATATTTTACTTCTTAGGTTGTTTTGAAATAATAGAAAGATATATTTAGGTTCCAAGTAGACTTCTTTTTTCTTTTCAAGACAGGGTTTCTCTGTGTGGCCCTGGCTGTCCTAGAATTCACTCCATAGACCAGGCTGACCATGAACTCAGAAACCTGCTGGGAGTATAGGTGTATGCTGCCACAACTTCTTGAACCCTTACACAGACTACTTGAAAAGAATTTTTAACTAAAAAATCTTGAACCTATTTCAAAATTAATATCCAATTTAAAATATTTTTCAGATTATTAGTGTATTATCTGTGTATGTACACACACATACACACACACACACACACACACACACACACATATATATATATATGTGTGTGTGTGTGTGTGTGTGTGTGTGTGTGTATGCAACATGTGTATGTGTGCATGTGTCTGGTACCAGAGGAGGTCAGAAGAAGACCTTGGATCCCCTGGAACTGGAGTTTCAGGTGGGTGGGAACTGCCTTATGGGTGCTGGGAACTGAACCCAGGTCCTTAGAGAGAAAAACAAGTGCTCTTAATAGCTTATCCCTCTCTCCAGCTCCTACATTCTGATTTAAATAAATAGGCCAAATCATATAGCACTCATTCCATTGTATTAAATATTTTTACTATTAACCATACCAGTACCAAATTTGCCAACTATAGAAAGATAGTATAGAAAAATGATCCTGTACAGTGACTAATCAAGTTTCAGATAGATAGATACACACACATATACATACACACACATACATACATACATGCATACAAATATATTTATCAATTTTAGAATGAAAGTAGAAATTAATTTTTTCATATTTAAAGAAAGAATTAATATGACAAAGCTCCCAGATTCCATATAGGGAAGGACTCTTGAGAATCTTTTAATCCTGAAGAAAATTCATGTTTATTGTATTAGTTTATGTTATCTTTATGAGAAAATCACTTCATTACTATAATGGAGTGTCTTATATCTCACATTACTAACTACTTAGCTATTGAAATTGTATCTATACAGTCATAATAGAGAGATCCTGACTCAAAAAACAAACAAAAACAAAACCCCCCAGAAATTGTATATATGTGTATGTAAAATGCTGTTTTCTTTCAGTACACAGTTAGGTATTTGTTTAGGTAAAATCAGAATTAATTTTAGATTGGTGATCACCAGAGTAGTAATTTTTCAAGGTAAATCTAGAAAGAAAGGTGTCTATCAGTTCTTTGTGACTCTTACAAATACTGAGATGGTCAGGTAATGCAGAGCTGCTGTATTAGACATCAGCCTGGATTGGCTGTGGCCCCATAAATCCAGGAAGACACCAAGGTACTACAGTCACTTTTGAGGGAACCCTTAACCTTAAACACCTCATATGATGCTCTACTTCCTCAGGTCTGGCATTTCCAATGTGGACATTGGAAGAACACTTAAGACCCAAATATAGTAAACTATAAGTAGTCGAGGGACTTTTGTATATCCCTTTTCATGGACAGATTGCTTAGGAAACGGGACTTGTCTAATGCTACTTCTATGTTAGGAGATTTTTCCTGGGATCCACCTTTATATGGTTACTTACTATTTGTTTTGAAATTAAAATGTTTAGAACTGTATATGAACAAAACAAAAACTAATATCAAAGGCAAAGAAAGTCCTGTGACAGTCAAGTCCAGTGTTAGCATTTGCAAATTAATTCAGTGGCACATGGGCCAAGGAATCTGACAGTTCAGCACCACAGTTATTCTTGGTTGGATTTTACTTTGCAACCCTCAAAACTCTAGTTTTCCTAGTAGGCTCATCAGGCTGTGATTGTACTTTAACCTATGTTTTGTCATTTGATTCTGGTGAGATGGGATGGATGCTCTGAAGATGCCATTACTGTGCTAATGTTAATTTGAATGGATTCTGAACTGTATGAGAGTCGGTGGCTACGAGTTTGTATTACACATAAGCCCTCATTCAGGGCATTCTTCATAGAGGAAAACTACTTAAAAGCTTTAGATGGCAAGGGGACAGAGCTCCTGGGTGGAGTATTTGCCCCATATGTACATGACCTCGCACTGAAGAAAGAAGAAAAGACAAGAAAAAAGAAAAGCTTCAGATCAGAAATAATAGTTACTTGTTTCCTAAGTGGATTTTTCTTTTTAATATAATAAATTAAAGAAAAACATGGCTGTTAGAGTACAGCATTACACCTGCCATGCAGGAAAGTACTCAGCAGATGTCAGTTCTTCTTTGCCTGCCTGAGTAATGAAGGGTTAGAATTCAATGTTACTTGTTCCACATTGTGTGGCCTAGGAATTTGATCCTCTCTGCTGTTCTTATGCAGCCTGAAGTCAGTCAATGGCTCCAACTTAAAGATAAAAAGGAGACCTTTTCTTACTAGAATATTCATGTACAGTCTTTCAGGAGAATTTATATGACTGTTGCTCAAACTCTTAAACTTTTTACCTAGTTTTTTATTAAAGACTGAATTAATTTAACATTAATTAGACTACTTACAAAGAACTTATTCCTTGCATAGGAACTACATTTTTATTTTGAGAATGGTATGTTCATTTATGGAATAAAGAAAAACAAAGTTTTAAAAAAAAACAGTGTTTATTCACTGTTACATAGTTGAAATCAGGGAGGGTAAAGACACTAAAGACAATAATCTAAAAACAGTGAGTTAGGAGAAAATTATTTTCAGCTTAAAATAGTGTACACTAAGCATTTACAGTTTCTCAGTAGAGGGTTTTCACCATCAAGCATGCATAACTATTGTAAATAGCAGCATTGCCTCCCTGGTGGTCCTGTACTCTGGGGCAATGCCCTGACCACAGCCTCAGCAGTTCTCTTGACAGGAGTGTTCTGCTCCTACATGCATGTTCAGGCTGTGGTGATTGTTCGCCAATGCACAGAGAGGCTGGCCGGGCACTTGGAAGGCCCCTTGTCTTGGGACTCCATGCCTCATTTCTTGACTGGTTTGCCTTCTGGAAGCTAATAGTGAACTAAAGTGAAGGAATTTTTGCTGCTAAAATGTAATCAGGTATAATTTTAAAAGACGTGTCTTCAAACTCAGTCATCCTTCTCTTTCCCCATAACCTACTTTATCCCCTTGAAAAGATCAAACAAGCTTTAAATCTTAGATTCACAAGCCTTATCTTCTGTTTCTAAATTAGTAAATATGACATACTGATCTTTTGTTACCATTGTTTAAATATTTCAATTTAGTTGGTTTTTTTTCTACATAACTATAATTAAATCTTAATGCCCAATATTTGGTAAGGAAATTGTATTTAGAACATCACCAATAGGTATTTTATGTGAATATAAACCATGTAGTCAACACTGTCACTTTTGAAAACCTAAAGAGTGGAGGGAACTGGGGTTTAGGCTCATTGTCTTAGCTGTGTAAGTATCCTGAATGCCTTCATTGTCCCTTAGATTTTGAAGATGACACTATCATAACAGCTGATGTCTCTCGATACATCGAAGACCCAGGTTTTGGGTATGAGGACTTCGCCAGGCGAGGAGAAGAGCATTTACCAACATTCCGAGCCCAGGTACACAGAGCTTTTAACTTAGAGAAACTGGAGAGGATTGCCCTTCAAAGGGATAACTGTTAAAATGTAAATAAAGTTTCTTCTAAAGTGGCCAAAAGACATTTTGATAGTATCTTAAAACTTTTTATCTAACCAGGTTTTCAATCCAGTCTATTTGATATTCTCATAGGAAAGTAATTACTTCAATATATTCATCCTTAGGAAGTTAGTGGGAAACAGTATGCTTGGTTTAATTGCCTGCATTATGCTAGATAGTTACATATATTCATGCCCTTCTTGGAGGGGTAGGGAAGAAATCAAGCAATTATGATGATGTCTATAATAAGGCATTTTGAGATTTGACTACACTAGTAGTTTGTACTTTAGGACCAGCCTCCCACAGTACAATGGGACTCTGGGGGACTGGAGTTAAATTCAGACTCCTGCATGCCTGAATAAGTTTGGAGACATAGCAATAGTCAAAAACTTGTGGATCCTTTCAGATAAAGTATCATGTGCATAGCACCTGTCCAGAGGAGGTGGCCAGAGTTCATCACAAACATGCCAAGCCCTAGACCCTATGAGACAACACCCTGGCTCTGCACTCTGCAACCTGACAGAATTCTTGTTACTGAGTTGGAAATAACCCCCACTAACTTTCAATAGTTTTATTTTATTTTTAAAATAAAAAAAATGGAGGGTTCAACAGAATGCCCATTTTGTAAGTGGACAATTTTTCTGCATCCAGGACTACACCTGGGAAAATCACGGGTTCTCACTGGTGAACAGACTTTACTCTGACATTGGGCATCTCCTGGATGAGAAGTTTCGAATGGTCTACAGTCTCACCTACAACACAATGGCCACCCATGAGGATGTTGACACGACCACGCTACGCAGAGCATTGTTCAACTACGTTCACTGTATGTTTGGAATCAGGTATGTTCACTATGCAGACAATTTTATATATTTCTGAGTGGAAATTGAAGCATTAGTTTTATTTATAGCCTGTTTGTGAGTACATCTTTCTTGGGGGGAAATGCCACCTAAAATCAAAAAATGGCCAAACCCTAAACATGATCTCTTTCTCACATGGCTTTGGATTTTGGAGTATTCCGAATTTTGGTTTTAAGGCTGTTTTTCTGCTCCATTGTTCTGAAGTATCACCTGACTCGTTACAATGTGTTAGATTCGGGGTTTTCATCCTCTTCCAGGTAACATCTGACTAGCCTTTATTGGCTGGCCTAACTTGCTAATTCAATACCTTCTAGTACTTTCTAAAATGCATCTCTCAGAGAACACCTGCCTGCCTTGTTTAAAATCATAGCTCAATCCTCTCAAGCTGCAAATCCATTTTTTCTTTTCTTTCTTTTTTGGTTTTGGTTTTTGTTTTCTGTTTTTTGTTTATTTGGTTGGTTTTTGTTCTTTCTTTTTTTTAGATTTTTGGAGACAGGGTTTCTCTGTATAGCCCTAGCTGTTCTGGAACTCACTCTGTAGACCAGGCTGGCCTGGAACTCTCATTGTTTTTGGTTTCTGAAGACAGGGTTTCTCTGTGTAGCCCTGGATATTCTTGAACTTACTCTGTAGACCAAGCTGGCCACGAAATCGGAGATCTGCCTACTTCTGCCTCTGGACTGCCACCATCCAGTCCATTTTTCTCTAAATAGTGATCACCACCTGCAAACTGTATGTTTGCTTTGTAATTTTTCTCTTTTATACCTTAAAAGAGTTTAACCTCTGTGACAATGGAGTTTTTCCTACAGTTTCACTACAGAATCCGAGTAACGGAAAGGGTGTATGACATCATTGAACAGCAAGGTCTAAGCAGGGAAATTTGAGTTTCACACCACAGTGCTGTCACTCACAGGTATGATGACTATGATTATGGGGAAGTTAACCAGTTACTTGAACGGAGCCTGAAGGTTTACATCAAGACAGTGACCTGCTACCCTGAAAGAACCACAAAGCGCATGTATGACAGCTATTGGCGGCAGTTCACACACTCAGAGAAGGTCAGTGTCATCAAACCTCAAAGACATGTTCAGCATGACATTTTCAGTCACGAAACAGGGAGGGTGGTATTAATAAATTGGTCCTGTTGAACTAACTGTTATTGTTCATATGCTATTAATCTAAAGGATATTGACTGTTCCTGAAACTTCAGATGTGTGCTCTAACATGGTATATGTTTTCGTCAAGGTTTCTATTGCTGTAATAAACACCATGATGAAAAGCACCTTTGGGAAGAAGGGCTTATTTCAGCTTACAGCTCTCAGGTCACACGGGTCATAGCTGGAACCTGGAAGAAAGGGAACACTGCTTGCTTCCTTGCTCAGCCTGCTTTCTGATAGCACCCAAGACATGCTCAAGGGTAGCACCACCTGAAGTGAAGTGCACCATGCGCATCTGTTATCAACCAAGATGCCCTACAGACTTGCCCACAGACCAATCCTATGGAGGCATTTTCTCAGTTAAGATTCCTTCTCCCCAGATGAACCTACCTTCTGTCAAGTTGGCATAAAAACTAGCCAGCACAGTGTGTAACATTAATTTTAGCATCAGCCTTTAAAAGGTTGGATCTAAATACCAATAAATTTACCATTCTAACTATTAAAAACCCATAGGAAGCAGTGCTCGTTAGAATTATACCCAGCCTTGAAGGCACTGCCATTTAGAAACTCTTGGTAGCCACCAAAGACAACAAAAGTTTCTTATTGTAATTCAGTATTTTGCCTTAGAGTGAAGAACCTGTGAGCCAAATGTTTTGTTATATAAGAATATCTGTGTTTATGAATTATTATTTAGATTAGAAGCTAGAGAGTGTTAAGAATCTTTACCAACATTATAGCTTTAGGTTCTAGGCCTTTGAAGCATTGAATCTAAGATCTCCTTCATACTACCATGTTCAAGCTGTAGGTAAGAAACTACTTCTGGGGGTTCTAACAGTCCCCAGTGAAGTGTATGACCTTGACAAAGTATGTTATAGCTTCACTTCTAAATCATTTTTGAAGTGTAAAGTTAGTCATCCACTAGGCATATTACCCATTTCATCTTCAGCCTCAGTGCATCTTTGTGCTATTTTATGTTTGCAATAGATTTCCTCCCTTTAGAGACTGCCTGTTCTCATCAAGAGAATACATCCAACAACACATTCAAGTGATAGGAAGGTATGACAACAACTCCATGGTAGAACATTTCCCTGAGGTCTGTTTAGAAAGTGTAGAGGTTTTTCCCAGAAAGGTACCCTGAGATTTTATCAGAGTCTGTGTAAGAGGTGGTGGGCTGGGGCTGGAGAGATGGCTCAGAGGTTAAGAGCACTGACTGCTCTTCCAGAGGTCCTAAGTTCAATTCCCAGCAACCACATGGTGGCTCACAACCATCCATTATGAGATCTGGTGCCCTCTTCTGGTGTGTAGATATACATGGAAGCAGAATGTTGTATACATAATAAATAAATAAAATCTTAAAAAGAAAAAAAGAAGTGGTGGGCTTCTGGTGGGATCAAGCTTAGTTGAGCTTTACTCTAGGGCTTAAAGTTAATGCTGGTAGTATATTTTGAACTTTACTTTTTAATTTAAAATTTTAAATGCTAAGAATATATTTCTAATTTAAATTTACTATCCACAATGCAATTTTGAATGTTCATCATATATACGTGCATACCCAGGCCTATTCATAGTATCTGGATACACATAACCTGTGTGGTGCCTGAAAGCCGCTACGGATTCTTGCACTGTGCTGTGTAATTACTGAGCCAATGCTCTTTGGTTTCCAGGTCCACGTGAATCTGCTTCTGATGGAAGCTCGGATGCAAGCTGAGCTGCTTTACGCCCTGCGTGCCATAACTAGGCACCTGACCTGAAGCGCCCCCAGGAGCGTGCCAGCATGTGTCAGGGCCTCTCACACAGGACTCTTCTTCAGAACTTGTTTGTGAAGCGGCCTCAGCAGTTATTCAGTTCCCTAGTGTCCAAGTTTAGCTGTCGGGGTCCTTTGTTTTTGTTTTTGTTTTTGTTTTGTTTTGTTAGTGTTGTTAGGGTTTGATTGGGGGGGGTTGTTTGTTTGGTTTTTTTTTTCTGGCTGTAATGTGCAATGGTGTGTTTTATATTTCTCAATGCTTAACATTGCTAACAATTGCAAAAGTAACCCTGACGAGCACTACTTTACATTGCTTAGAGTTGGATTTTGGATCTGACCATAAATCATGAACTGGTTTGTTAATGCTTCACTTCAGGACTTTGGAGTTCATGTGTATTATTTTTCTTTACTTTAAAAAAAAATAAGGAAAAAGTGCTTACCATCTGCTCAAGAAGTTGTTTTTCAGAATCAACATTCAGGAAAGAATGGTGTCCTCTACGGCTCTGAAATGCCCACTTGTGCCCTGAGTCTGGGAAAAACATGTGCTGCTGAACCAAGCTGCTCCTGGGATACACCTGTGTCCCCAGGGGACAATCAGGCACTATTCTGTTTTTGTTTTTCTAATTGTTTTCTTACACTGCTATTGGCAATAACGTGAAATGTGATACAGACATCGTCCATAATTTAATGTGAAATTAATTATGATCAATTCAAAAGCATGCTACTGAAATGCCAAATTCAGCTACTTTCTTTGTCTTCTAAAACAGAGGCCTCATTTTCCCACATGGCTGCCTGTGTGGCAGTGGACTTAGGCACAGTTTCCTGAGTCCTGCACTGTGGTCCTCCGTCATGTCTAGTAGCTGGTGGCCACGGTGCTGCTTACACTTGGCACACACAAACCCACACCAGATAACCCCGACCAAATGTCTCTTTGCACCTTCTCCTTTTCTGAGAGTTAAGGAAGGCTAGTTAACATGCCCCTGTTTTTTCCTGTTACACTATTGGAAATTATTTGACATGATTTTCTTCTTCTAGTAGATTAAGTCATTTGTTATTCAAAGGTAACAATTGTGTTTCTGTGCATTAATGTGATTGAGCAACAACAAAACAGTGCAATGTTTTTAAAAATCAACTCAACTTCTCCCTATCATGTCACTGCAGAAGTGTCCTTTTAAACAGAGCCATAAAGAAATGATCTTCAAATTTCTTTATTGTGCTTGGTGTTTTTCAGTTTTACCTTGCTGAGGTTGACCCATGATTTCACCATGCCAAAGCATTCATTCCCCAGAAAAATCTGTTTGGACAACTAGTTTTAAAATAAGAAATGCATTGTCATAGGGGAGAAAAAAAGGCCGCCAAAAAGTCACACTTTTGCATCAATTTGTGTTGTTTGATTAGACTATCTTCAGAGAGCACAACCTTATGTGTTTATAGCTTTAATTTGCATTATGTTAATGAACCAGTGAAGTGCCTAGAGAGCTGCTACAGCACCCAGAGGACTCAGCTGCACGGCTTAAGCACCTTACTCAATGAAAGGTGACTTGTATTTTACACATACATGCTAACGTCGAACATACCTGTCTCTCTCTCATAGTAAGTCATCCGGGAGCTCCCACAGAACGCTCACTAAGGGTTTCCCTGTTATGTGGGTGTATTTTTTCTCTTATGAAAGAGTTGTGGGCTGGTATTCTGTTAGACTGTCCTGTCTGCCGTCCTTTTCTGGGATGTTAGCTCCTTTTGCTTAGCACTGTTCTAGAGAGGAGAACAGCAATGGCTACAGAGCAGTCAGCATAGGTAGTTCTGTGTTTTTAGACTCCAGGATCTTGTTTAAATCCTCCATGTGAGGAAGAAGTCACTAGGATTTTGAAGACAGGGTGACTCCTTTAGAGACTGTTGAGAGAGCTTGTGCCAGACTCTCTGTGTTCTGTTTGTTGTGTGCACTGCGTTCATCATCTTCTTTAGATATATATGAACTACAAGGAAAGTATTTAGAGGAATGGCAAAAGACAGGTGGTGGCATAAATGGCCATGTGTGCTTTCCCCAATTTTAAGGCTTCCGAATTTAGGATATAGTTTATTATTGCATTTTTTAAATGATAGAAAACTGTTTCATTTCATAGCCCCATGTTTTTGTTCAGGTAAACAGACTAAGAGGAGAAATTCAGATCCCTGAAAAAGCTTTAAACCAAAAGGGAAAGCGGTCACTTTTTGATTTTGGTTTTGTGTTGCCCCTTAAATGTAAGTAGAGATTGGACTGTGGAAATATTAGTGCCTTTAATAGATATCTCTCCTCGAAAAACTTCCTTTTAGTTCAACAGACCAATCAATAATCAGAAAAAACAAGTTGACTTGGAACCATGAATAAAAACACAGCAATGTATTTATGAACCTCAGTGAACCGGCCTCAAAAACTTGGTTTGTGAAGGTGGCCCCACCTCCATGCTACAGATGCACCCAGCATTCCCAGCTTGAATGCTGCTGTAAGAGTTGCCTGTCAACCCACTTCATCCAGTACAAACTTGAAATTTTGATGCGGTTTTCCAGGGTGGCATTTCTTTTCAGAGTATTGACTTTACAATGTAGTAATTTATAGTGTAGCTTTTTATACTGAAATGTGATATTTTTCAAAGGAGCTATCTGACTCAGTCGGTGTAATAACAGAGCCTGTGGTAAGCTGAGCTACACCCAGGGCTCACATTGTGCCAAACAGAAGCAAGTGTGTGAGTGTGTGGGAAGAGCACATCTGAGTGGGAAGCCCTCAACTCCTTGCTCCTTGTGTTAAAATCAGCCTGATAACCCTGATGGACATGCTGGAATAATGTTGTCCAATATGGAATTTCACATTTGCCAGCATCTGTGCTAATTCTTAATTTCTCAGCTCACTATCAGAAACATCAAGGAAACCAGACATGGTGGCACATACCTGTAATCCTAATACATGGAAGCCTGAGGCATGAGGATGGTGGTTTTGAGTCCAGCCTGGGCTACATAGTGAGTTCAAGGCCAGTTTGAGCTACATAGTGACACCTTGTCTCAAAAATTAAAAAAGAGAGAAAAAGAAATATGTAAGCACCCTCACACATGAAAGTGGGTCTGATCTTCAACCCACTTGACTGTGGGAGTGGTCAGAGTGCTCTGATGCTGCCCTGGAAGTGGCTTCCTCAGGCAGACTCAGGCTACTCTGATGGAAAAAGGCTTTTGAGGTGGACTACTTTTAAAAATAAGTACCTTGTCTCAGTCCAAGGAATAATCAGGAGTAGCTGACATGGAGTCCTGGGTGTAGCCTTGGCCTTTTGAACCAGTTTTAAACCCAGTAATAGCACAGCTGTACAGGGCTATTTTTAAAAGAGAAAACTCAAGTAAGATTTATATAAAGGTCATGTAAAATTTGAACCAGACACCTATTTTGTTTGTGTTGTGTCTGTTAAAGATTCTACATCATTCTAAAATCTAATGGATATCATCCAGGGAAGTACTTCCTCCCGCACCTCAGAAGGTTTTGCTAATCCAAAATCATAGAATTTTATGCCTCACCAAAGTAAATTTATCAGCAAACAGTTATAGATTGACTACTACTTAAAATAGTCATCACTTCCAGTGGCAAGTGCATGTCTGTATAATGGCAAGGCTCCTTTAAACTGTAAGATAAGGACAAAGAATAAATCCAATGTGCCATAGAAATGGTATGTGCTGCAACAGGCAAATGAGGCTTTTACTTGGTGTTGTGTTTAAGGACAATTAGAAATCACCACTCTCATTCTCTGCAAAACAGACCATTTTGCATGGAATAAAAAACATGCAAGATGATCCACCCACATATGCAGTATATAAGCATTCTTAGTGGTACCTCACCAGCAAACAGAAAGGCAATCCTCAGAAAAGGGCACAGTAAGCCACATGTCCATGCAGTTGGAACCAGTTGTATCTGGCCATCATTGTGCACTGTTCCCTACTGTACCTCTGCCTCTGAAGACTCAGATGCAGGCTCACTGTTTCCTTGCAGCAGGCCATAACATGAGTGTATCCTGTCAGTTCACAGAGCATTAACCCACACATCTGCAGCTTATTCCACTGCTAAACTGGCCCCATCAACAGTACCTGCTTAGGGAAGACCAAGAATAGAAAAGGCTGGTGTGAAGTGGGTCTGGAGTGGAAGTGTGCACCAAGGCTGAGCCCTGTGAGGAAGAAAAGTTTCCAGGAACACTTGGAACACAGAGCTGAGATTCTGGCTGTCCTTGGCACATGCACCTGCTATACAGGTGGGAGCTCCCACCAGCCTTCATCCACCCTTTCCTGCCTTTTTCTTCCTCCAAGTGCCTCAGCCACCACTCACACTTCTCCCCTCCCCACGCCTGTCTGTGTCGAACATCACCAGCGACCTGCTGAGCATCCAGTATGTCTTTTTCTCTGTATGTCTTCCCCCATCATTAAAAATATGGCTTTCCCAAACCCCCTTCCAGTCTCTCCATTATCCATCTATTTTTTTTTTTTTTTGCCTTGGACACCTTACAAGATATATCACAGCATCCATTCTGTCCTGCCCACCCCCTGCTGTTCATACCCTCTTCCCAGCTGCCAAAATATCTTATTCTCCTCTACCTCATCCCCAAAGAGCCTATAAATTCAGAGCACCCAGCCTTCTCATGTGTTCATTCTCTGTTGTTCAGTAATACTACTCCATATTTTAAATAAATCATAAAACATTTGCCTTCTATCAAAGTAGGAACCTTTATATTTATACATGATACAGAAATTGAACTATTTCTACCATGCAGAATTTAACATTTAGCAAGAATTCAAAGTGATTGAATTTCTAGCCTAACTTGGTCCCAATTAGATGGTAAATACTGGTAATAGTCCCAGTTGCTTGAATGCAGAGTTAGAATTCTCCCACACTCCGGATGAGCCTCTAAGTCTTCAGTGGGACACAGAATCCCTGGCAGCAAATGAACAGTATGTTGTCATCCATTTCATTGGTGGTGTTTGGGCCCGAAAACACATTCTTCATAGAAGGACATCTGATAAAAGGTATTTGTTTAGAGGGTCAGATTGGATCACATTAGCCTATTTGCTGTGCAATGTAGATAAAAATCCCACAAAACCAAGTACAAGAGTATTTGACTCAATTAACTAAGCTTCTAATCCCAATCCTCCCCTGTTATCACTGGAAGAAAAGCTACTTTGTGGGATAAGAAGGACATGTATTGGCTTGAGTCTTGCCCCCCAAGTTGTTCTTTGTATATGCCCAGATAGTGTCATTGAGGAGGAGGACATTACACTGCTTCTTCCCTACAGCCAGGCTCCTAACAGGAGCCATATGCCCACATAGAGATGGTGAGCGGTCCTGTTTGGGAGTGTAGATCTGAGATCTCTGATGATCCTCAGATGTTTCCACCCCAGACACAAGCACCCTATTTGCAATGCCCGATTAATGCATTTAAGGACCCAAGAGTGCAGAAGGGAACCTAGTTAGGCAATGACCTGGTGGCTTAAAGTGGTACATAATGAAGTATTTATTTAGCTTTAACTGAATTAGGTCTGCACTGCCATGAAGTACAGAATGAATTGAAAGCATGTGGAAACACTTAAGGTAATCCAGCATGTGCCACAAAGTAGCCTATAGAATGAGCACCCCACTTTATAGTACATAGGACCCCTAACATTAAAAATTGAAATATGATAAATATAACTTTGGTATGTAAAATTTTGCTAAAACTGTTTATTTCTTACTTCAAGTAACCTCTTAAAATGAATGTATCATTTCTACAGAAAGAATGTTAAAAGAGAGTCTGTGAAATGTTGCTCATGGGTACCACTGAGTTAAATGTACACATTATATCCAGAAGAAACCTGATTTCCTCATTGATCTTTACAAACTTTAACTGAGTCTGATAAAAGAACAAAAGGTAGGATGAAGGAAATGTATCAGGTGAGTGGCCAAGGATTTTCCTTTGCAAAGCAGAGACATCTTTCCTGAATCTCACTGGTTTCCCAAAATAGAAGCTGAGTTGAATGGTACCCTGTCCACCAAGGAAAGTGATCCATACTTTACAACTAGTATAAACATTTCTTTTGTATTTAGATGTCTCTGCAGAGAGAGAAAGTAGAAATTTTTCCTATCTCTTTCTTGTCACATTGACTCTTTTAATCCAAAACAAGATGGACCTGAAAGCAAGTACCAGGCCACTTGGCATCTTCTCCTTACTAATTGAATAGGTGCACAGAGTCTGGGCAAAGTAAACCAGAGCCCTGTCAGGCCACCCTGGAAATATGACCTCGCCACTTGGCTTACCTCCTTCAAACCTGAAAGAAACATCCCTCCCATGGAAGAACTGGATGTAGCTTTTAACTATGAAATAGGAGTTGAACTTGAAAATCCTTCTGAATCCTGTTTGTGCAAGGCAGCTGCATAATGAATGTATCCATGAAGACTGTAGCTGAATTGCACGAGTCAGATGCCAACTTCATGACTTTCCATGTAGACATCATCTTCTTACGTTGTGAATGATGTATGTAGCATGCTGTGAAGCATCTGTTCTAGTTCTTAATTCATCAGTATTAATACAGAGTTACCCTTGCGTTCCTTGGTACTTTATATTCAATGTAATCAGAAGCTGTGATTTTTTGCCTTCGTAGTCCTGTGCTTTGTTGCTGTATTTTCCTTATGAAGCACGTGACTTGGGACTCATGTAAGGTGGATAACATGATCTTGAAGACTGCTATACACACACACACACACACACACACACACGTCTCTTACTCTGTATGGTTTTAAGTTAGGATAAGCTTTCTCCAATAGACTATTGATGCAGGTTAGGGTCCACAAGTTCACTGTCAAGTGGCAGCATCCTCTTTATAGTTTCAAGTCTGAAAATAGCAAGTTTTATCGACAGCCACTTCACCCTTGTTCTAACAGAGCAGACCCTCTGTAGATATAGACTGTGGTGGTTATCGATAACGCCCTCCACATGCATTAGCAGTTCTGGAGATGACAGAACCCATGAGAGCTTCTTGTATGTATAAGTAGGCTTGGTTTTTGTCTGTATGTTTCTAACTTGACAGTTCTGACTAAAGCTGAACCAAACGGGCCAGCTTGTGTGTAGTACCCTCGTGCTTTAATGCCTCTCTTCTTGTTCTGCTGTTGTTATTTTTGTTTTTTGAGGGATGGGTAATATTATTTGAACAGATAAAGAAGGAACTGTTAGTGAATCAAGACAAACACATCTGAAATAAAGGAACTGTGTATTAACATGTTAACAATTCATAACTGCACTTTTTATGACATTTTGAAAATCTATTTATAGGTACAAAACAATGGGTTTTGTTAAACTGTATCACGTTTATACCTGCAGAATTTATTTCATTGTTATTAGTAGGAATTTTATTGGTTCAATAAAATTGGCAAAACTTATCCTGCTTTCTTTCATTACTTACAGTGAAGAATATTCTCACCTTAATTTGCATCTGCCTGATGACTGAACCATGAGCTCTGGGATATGTGAGGGTTGTGGAAAACAATGTCTTGGTTTTGAGTCTCACTCTCTTATCTCTTGATCTTCAGTAGCATAAGTTGTTCAGAATGTAGAACTACTGTTACTCAGAAAAGGCATGTCGGTGTTACTTGTGTGTCTTATTGCCAATATCATCATTAGAATGGGGAAGGGATGCTGAACACAGGGTCAGAACTGTTTAAAACCCATTTTTGTTATATTCTGCTATCTTTGGGGCATTGAGAGTAATCTAATCTCTATGGATTCTGATTTTCACACCTAGCATGAGAGAAGTAGTACCTATCTGAAACATTTTTTGGTGAATCGGGTGGTGTGCACTGGTTTCTTTGCATATCCAGCTCAGATGTGAACTTGAATGTATAATCAAAAAGCTCAGAGAATGGTGTTATTACCTGAGGTCAAGTAGAAAGGAGAATGGATGGGAAGGAGTTGATGCATATGTAATGCTGAGTGGTGATGAGGCTCCTGACACACAAGGAAGCATAGGGAGGTGCATGTAGGGTTTTCTGTGAAGGTTTTCCAATGAAAGTCCTAAGAGTCCATCCCAAAGACAAAACGCCTCCTTGCCACATATTCCACCTGTAGTAAGGGGTCGACAGAACCACCTCCTTGCTGAGTGAAATCTTTTCCTTAATATGCAACCTCCAGGGGGAAAAGGTCAGGCAACTAAGACCATCCCTTCTGAAACAGACTATCCCTAACTCAAAGTCCACACTCTCAAGGCTTTTTATAAAGTTACAAACAACTTTATGTGTATGTCTGCATTTTGTCCTGTACTGTATATAGATAGTCTCATTCAGTCCTCAAAATAACTTATAAGGAGCTGACACTTTGATTTTACAGAGAAAGCCAAATCTTGGCTTTGTCATCTAAGAATTGCCACTTAGCATTGGCAAATATGGACTCTGAACTCTGCTTTCTGACATTTTTATTAACATAATTTCTTTATTAGTTCTTTTGGAATTTCACATCATGTACCCCAATCCTGCTTATCTCCCAGGTTCCTCCATATCTGCCCTTCCCCCCTGCAGTGTCACCCCTAAAAGAAAATTAAAAAAAAAAAAAAAAAACCTCTTTGCTCCTCTGTCTTTCCTGCCTCTCCAATACCTCTTCATCTATCTTAGTAGCATTGGGAGTTGCAGTGTCTCACACAGCATACCCTTTTGTCCAATCAGCCTTACTTGTAAATGTTCATTGCAGTATGTCATTGGTCTGGTTCAAGGCCTCTGGTTTCTGGTACTGCATCATCGCTGGACCCTCAACAAAACTCTCAGATATTTCTCGGCCACCCCAAGTCATGGAAATCCTGTTTGTATCATTCCACAGGACCAGTTCCTTCATGAATTCCAGCAGGTCCTAGATGGGGTAGATGTTAGAGTGAGCCACCCAAGACCCTGGATGACAGTTGAACTGGTTGGTCTGGGTGAGGGGTGGAGCCAGCTCTTTAATGTCCTTGCCATCAGGGCCAGTTCTCTTAATACCCTTGGTGAGGGATGGGGCCATCTCTCCCAAGGTCAGTGGACCAGCTCTCCCATGAGGGTCGGGGGCAGCTCTCTTGCTGCAGAGCCAGCAAAAGGTGGGGTTGCCCCAGCATGTTCCTTTGATTTAATCACACATGGTTCCTATGGCCCCTTGTAGTTAGACAGACCACAGATATCAACACAAACTCCAGCTGCAGCAGGACCATAGTTCCAGACATGGCCCTCAGTAGCTCGGCCTGGACAACACCATGGCTGCAGGTGGCAGCACAGGTCCTCAGACACCAACTAGGTCACAGGTTGTGACCCTTACCCCAGGCTTCCATATGGCCTTTGGTGGCAACATAGGCCTTCGACTTCAACACAGATTCTGGCTGCAGTAGGACCAGACAAGGACACAGACAAGGTCCTTCACAACATCCGGGCTTGGATGTCACCATTGCCCCACATGGCAGCACTGCAACCCAGATAGGCCCCAGTGGCAGTGTGGCCCTTGGACACAAACATGACTCCAAGTGGAGTCCCAGACTTCAGGCATCCACACGGCCTTCAATGGTAACATGAGCCATGGACATCAACACAGACCTGGCTGCAGTAAGACCATGGACCTTGACGCTTTCTGACCTAAGAGGTATAAATGACTCGCCATACACTATATGATGTTTTACTAAGATGTAAAAGAATAATATGTGCTCCAAACAATGAAATAACTTTCTTCTCTGGCTAACTTGATATTTTTAAATTGTGTTTTGTTTTATTTTGAGACAGGGTTTCTCTGGCTGTCCTGGAACTTGCTATGTAGACCAGTCTGGCCTTGAACTTGGAGTGATCCGCCTGCCTCTGCCTCCCAAGTGCTGGGATTAAAGGTGTGTGCCACCACCACCCAGCAGATATTTTTAATTTTTAAAAAATTAACTTTTCCTAGTCCTAAATAGGCCATATGATTTAATAGATGGTCCATTGAGCCATTCTCACCTAGGAATATAGACAAGATTCAGGAAAGCCTAAAAACACCTACATTTTATTGGTGGAGCTTTTCTTCTATATAATAAAGTTATAAATCAAGTTATAGCTTCTAATGTAAGGTTTCCTTTCTGTGGGGACAAAGTCCATCTCAGAAAATGTCTCTTTTCCCAGAATCTCTCACATTTGATATGATTCCATAAAATACCACTTGTCTTGATATCTGGAATCTGAGATGGCTTTAAGACACTTGAGCAAAGATATCAAGTAGACTAATCCAGACTTATGTATATGGGGCTTAGGGAAACAATAAGAGATGAAGGACGGCTGAGGGACTCCTGAGAGTTGTGGGCCAGGACAAGTGGAAAGAACCAAGGACCAGTGATGCAGAGAAAAGGGCCCCTTGTCATACCTTTCCTCAGGCTGGCTGCAACAGGGAGTGGAGCAGACGTGGTCCTCACATGGAATTTATGGTAGAGGGAACAAAAATGGAGGAGAAAGAGCAAGGAGGCCACAAAACTACATGTTGGAGCAGAGGGAAAGACAAGAAATAAGAGTAAGTGTTAAGGCAAGCCAGTCAGTCCATGCCAGGATGCTAGTGAGTGCCAGGTGCCCCATGGTAAGTGCTATCTGTAGGTTCTGTGGTGGTGTCTCAGCTCCTAACATCAGAAAATGATGTAGATGGGAATCCCCTCTACCAATTGCCTACTTGCCCACTACAAGGTCTTCCCTCCCCAGCTACTTTCCCAGGAGGTTCTGGGGGACAGAGCGACTAAGTGCCTTGACCAGTGAGTGTCTCCAAAAAAAAATCAGACCAGCTGAAGAATCCACTCAGAACAACAAAATGGAAAGTCTATGAATATGATGGCCCAGTTTTGAGACAGGTGGGAGGATTTGATCCTCTCTGGGCACTGAGTAAGATGTTAAGCATTGTTAAAGCATGTTTAAAATCTGTTAAAACTATTGTTCATAGTTCTTATGTTTATGGTGTAAGCACCTGCTGCTCATGTTCCTGTAAATAAGCCATGATGTTGGGGAAGGGGCATTTGGACTCTGATCAGCAGGTATTGGATTCTCACTTCTTTCCTGTCCTGTCTTAAGCAAAGGACTGCCGTACTGTTTAATGGTCGGTGGGATTAATTAGCCTTATACCAACACCAGCTAGCCAGAACTCTCCATGACTTCTTCAAACAAGCACAAAACTTCCAGCTGATCACCTGGCTCCTGAAGGCAGCTCCTGCCAGGCCTGTTTGAAACAATTTGTGTCTACCTTCTTGTAGTCACAAGCCTAGTTAAACCATTTCCTCCTGGGGGGGGGGGTGACATTTCCCAGGGTGAAGGGATTGGTGCTAAAGATTGGTCGAACCCACAAGCATTAATGACTGATTGGTGCTAAGAGGCAGGGCTATGGTTGATCCAAACAAGTGCAGTGATTGGTCCAAACAGCCCTTGAGAGACATTCTCCTCTGCTCCCTACTATAGTGTGAGGCCCAGTTAGGGATGGGTGCTCTCCCTCTTCCCCTCTCCAGCCCTTCCCTCTCCTTCTTCCTCTCTCCTCACATACACAGCTTCTTGTGCAGAGTAGGCTGGTAGCAGAGGCCGCACAGATGAGGCAGCAGCGGTGGACTTGAAGGCTGATAAAGAGCTCAGCAGCTGACCCCATTGCTGCCCAGCTTTCAGTCCCCATCACTATGCTCCCAAACAGCCTACCTCACATCTGTTAGTAACACTGCTTGATGGCTGAGACTCCTGCAATGGGTGCCCCCCCCTGCTGTGCACCCTGCCTGTCCACTGGAGACCCTGTCTGCTTGCCTGAATCCCACCTAGTGGCCAACAATCCCGCTGTCGCAAATGCTGCTGCCCAGGTCCTGAGCAGTCAGCCAGCCATTCCAGCTCCCACACCGGTAGCAGGTACGCAGCTTGCATGCACAGTCCTGGGCAGGTCAGCACTTCAGCTAATTCAGATAGCAGATACAAAAGGTCAACCAGCCTTGGTGATAACAATTCCAGAGCAATAGTCGGAAAAGAAAAGCTATAGAGGTGATGAGAGAGCAGAGCACTGATAAAAGATTGGGAGGAGCCAGAGAGGAGGAAAACATGAAGGCCTGCTTACCAGGAGAGCTCCAGAGAGCTGGGCATTGTAAAGCTGGCCACTGCCAGGAGCCCAGGGTTCTGAAACTGAGGCCTGCAAATGTGCTACAATGTTTGTAGGACTAAGGATCCTAATAGTCAAGCAGACACGAGGATTGTAACAATAGAGTGCCACCTGCCAATGCTCTCCCTGCTGGCTGCCACCACTCATTGCTATCAGACTGGCATTTATCAACCATCTTGCTCATGCTGGGCCTCACCCAAGTGGAGCAGAATTCTTAGCCTGTTGTTTACTGGCAATTGGACTCATCCCCAGGCCTGGAACCTGCACAAAGTGGTCCATGATGGGTCACAAAGGGAACAAAGCCCTTGGTTAAA